AGTGCTGGCGAGGATGCGGGGAAAAAGGTACACTCATACATTGCTGGTGGGACTGCAAATTGGTGTAGCCAATTTGGAAAGCAGTATGGAGATTTCTTGGAAAGCTTGGAATGGAACCACCATTTGACCCAATTATTCCCCTTCTTGGACTACACCCAAAAGACCTAAAAACAGCATACTATAGGGACACAGCCACATCAATGTTTATAGCAGCACATTTCACAATAGCTAGACTGTGGAACCAACCTAGATGTCCTTCAATGGATGAATGGATTAAAAAAATGTGGCATTTATACACAATGGAATATTACTCAGCACTAAACAATAACAAGACCATGGCATTTGCAGAGAAATGGATGGCATTAGAGCAGATTATGCTAAGTGAAGTTAGCCAATCCCTAAAAAACAAAGGCCGAATGTCTTCTCTGATATAAAGGGGGGCGTGACTCAAAATGGGGTAGGGAGGAAGAGCATGAGAAGATTACCACTAAATAGGGAAGAGAGGTGGGAGGGAAAAGGAGGGAGAAGGGGAATTGCATGGAAGAAGGAAGGAGACCCTCATCGTTATACAGAATACATGTATTACAATGTGAGGGGAGAAAAAAAAAGAAATGTGTCACATTAGATTGGGTAGAGAGAAATGATGGGGGGGAGAGGAAGTGGGGATAGGAAGGACAGCAGAATAAAATAGACATTATTATTGCTGTATGTATTTACATGACTGTATGACCAATGTGATTCTGCAACCTGTACACTCAGAAAAATGAGAAATTATACCCCATCTAATTCAAATGTGAATAAAAAAACAACAACAAGCTTACGGGACAGGGGATGAAGTTCAGTGGTAAAGCACTTGCCTACCATGCATGAGACTGTTCAGTCTCCAATACTACAAAACAAAACACAAAACACAAATCCTTCCAGCTCAGATGGCTTGTTTCTCTTATATGCCAGAGAATGAGAAAGGAAAGCAGTATGAGGTGCACAAAAACAGATGGATTCTAGAAACACTATCTCTTCCATGCCTGACTTTTATATTCTAGAGCTTTAATTCCTTGATTAACTCCTTCCTCTGTATATCAGAGTAAGAAAATTTCCAAAAAGCAAGTTGAGCACATCTGTATTTGCCAGGAAAGTGGGCAATTTCCATTTTTGTGAACTAGGTCCAAATGAACAGAGTACAGAATTGTTATTTAATAGAACTCAAATGAACTGAATAGAGTAGGACTGCTATAAGCTTGGTGTGATGCTCTCTGGATTTGTTACTCCTGGGAAGAAAGGAGAGGATGCAGGAGACAAATGAGAAAATCCAGGCCACTGAGCTCCACTTGTCTTTCCCCTGTTGGTTACCTAGAGGATGAGACTGGCCTAGTATGGACTAATCAGAGGCAGTCCAGGATTGGATATATGGGATTGAGAGCAAAGATGAGGGTAGAAGAGACAACAATTTCCATCAGAAGTCATCTGAGTATCTGTTCTGTTGCTTTCTTAATAATGGAATACCTTACCCAAGAGACCACTCATTAAAATATTCTCAATTTCTTTCAAAATTAACTCAAACCCTTGTTTATTTGTCCTAATGAATGCTAGGTAGAATACTTTCTTTTCCCCTCAAAGGTTGAGAACCCTAACAAAAGCCACTTTTACAAATGGTAGAATGATCTATCTATCCACTCTTACTAATTGGAAAATGTTGTGATAAATAATGGCTAAAAATCACTGGACTAAATATTTTCTAAGGTTTTTTTTTTTCTCCTTTAAAAGTGACTATTTGTGGCTGGGTCCAGTGGCGCATGCCTGTAATCCCAGAGGCTCAGGGGCCGAGGCAGAAGGATTTCGAGTTCAAAGCCAGTCTCAGCAATGGTGAGTCACTAAGCAACTCAGTGAGACCCTGTCTCTAAATAAAACATGAAATAGGGCTGGGGATGTGGCTCAGTGGTCGAGCACCCCTGAATTCAATCCTCAGTACCAAAAAACAAAACAAAACAAAAAAAGTGACTATTTGTAAAGAAAGCCCAAATGCCTACATTCTCTGCCTAGTTACTGCTCTCATTTTCCCAGAGGTAATGAGGTGATTCATATTACATACACTACTTCCTGTCCATCAAGGCTACTCTTATGTAGAAGCAGGTGACTATACATTATGATTTAAAAAGAAGACAGCCTTCTCTGAACACTTTCTTATTTTGACAAAATTCCAGCATTTATTTGAATTAAGAGGCAAAAAATGCTGAGGAAAAATTAAGTGTAAGAGAGTGATTATGTACACTGTAGTAAATAAAGGAATAACAGTTTTAATAGGCCGTGCATAAGAAGGTAAAAGAAGGAGGAAGAAAATGAAAGGTAACTTTGAAGAAGATGCACCAGTGGTAAAATTCGGAAAAATCAGAGAGCAACATGAGGAACCAGTCTTCTAAGAGGAAGAAAGGAATGTCAATGATGTATGGATACCCAAGGAAATTTGATTTCTCCCATTTTACTTAATATAAACTTTATTCCCTTCTCTCTATATAAGCTCCAGATGCAATTCAGATTTTAGATCTTCAACATAATCATTCCTATAGCAGTAAGATAAAAAACAGAAAATAATGAGCAGAGGCATAATATTTTAGATTAGTTAAACATTGAAATCTACTTGCTATAGGGAAGAGTCACATATTATAAGCACAACATACACAACAATATAACCAGATTTGTAACAAAGAAAAATCAAGATTTCATTTGTTCCCTAAAAATCCAAATGCCTATAGAAAGGGAGCTACAGAACTTGAGTTTTACACTAAACAGCTTGGATGATGAACCTAGCATATGTCAAAGAATGAATACTACTGTTCAAACATCTCTCTACCATGACTTTGAGAATGAAATAAATAGATAACTCTGGGAAAGGTGATCATAATTATGAACAAGAAACAAGAGATTTGTGTATAAAATATACATTAAGAATAGGAATTTTTTAAAAATGGAAGCTTATTGTAGGCTTTCCCTCTGACAGATAAAAATCATTTTCCTGTGGCAATGGGATTCAATAATTCCAAAGGAAAGTATTATAATTCATATTGGTGGTGAATAAAAGGCTGAGTAGTGAAGAGTTAAATGAAATTAAATCAATGGACAAGGAAGCTGAAGGGAATAGAGGAAGAGAAGGGAAGCAGCCCATTAAGAATAAGTAAATAATACCAATATTACTGCGGATATTACAGTTTATTTTTAACTCTTTAAACCAGTTAATGAGATTAATTGCCATTATTATTCCTATCTGTCAAATGAGCAACCTTAAGCAAAGAAATGACTGCTTACATCCTCCAAACTATATACCTAGAAAGTGGAATAGGCAGGACTTGAGCTATGTGTTTCATCAAAACAATGTGTTTATGTGCTTCATCAAAACAATGAGAGGATGGAGTTTTAAAATCATCTCTTTTAAGAGATGGAGTATAGATCAAAGATTCCACAGGTTTTGTGAACACAGCTCATTTCTACTTTGTCCTAGGAGTTCCTTCGCGCTAGCATAAACTTTAGTTGTATGTTTAAACTGAGCTTGTATTATTTAAAAGTGGGTAAAGAATAAAGAAGTATACTCCCTAAGGGAAAGTAACAGTGGGAAACAGCTGTGATTCGGGCACTCATTCATTTCATCTGAGGGTCAGGGTGGCAGTGGTAAAGTGTGTCTGAGAACAGAAACCAGCCAGGTACCTGGCAGAGGGATTTCTGAAGATCTTCTTGGAAAGAGCTCATTTATTTGCCAAAATACATATTGCTCTTATGTTTTGCATTCAGAGATTTTTTTTTTTTAAATGCGTGGCAAGAGGATGGAGGCAAGAATTTCTTAGAAAAATGAAAACGGGTTTCTAATGGAGAGACCTAAGTAATTTACTCAAACTTCCTTTTCATTCTTTCTGAGTAATATCTGTATGGAAATACCCTACTGAGTATTTTAAGAGCAGATTATAACATGCTGTACCATTGTATATCAAGAGAGTAACCTTTTTGATTACACTATAGAATTAGCCAGAACAATTCTTTTTCTGAGGAACAAGCGTCCACTTAGAATGGAAACATGTAAGCTCTGGCATCAATATTTCAAACTTACCAAAAATCAATTTTTTTGTTCAATAATTTGAAAAAAATCCAGATCAACAAGTTCCTTTAATGGAAAATCATGCTAAATACTTTCTAACAATAATATTCTACGTAAGAAAATATAAGAAATTATACATTTAAAGAATATCTTCTGGTTTTATGCATAATTTTTCATTTGAATTAATTGTATTTCCTCATTTCTATGAAGAACCAATGTTCAACAAGATAACAAAATGCTATATAACAGAATTACTGTGCATTTAATGTGGAATAGAGAAAATGTATAAAACATACAGTACTTTAAAGAGAATGAATGCATCATACACAGTTAATAGGAACTTCCAAATTATTAAATGTATAAAATTAATTTAGGAGAGAAATGATAATGCAGTCAATTTATAAAGCATTTAGTACAGATGCTAAGTAAAATTATGCTCCCATTAGAAAAGAAATTCTGTCAGCTCTAAAAATAGATTGATGCCTTCTTATTGTGTTATAATAATATCTATTGGAGAATTTAACTTATAAAAAATGGCAATTTTTTTCTGATTATACCATCATAGAAATAAATAGTTAAGTGCTGAAAACAAAAGGGAAAGTAAAATAGAAATCATGAAAAATAAAAATAAGCAATTATTTACACATACAGTGACAATAATTAAATAATTCTAGTCTTTAGAATTGTAAAGAATGGAAATAGAGATTTTCCAAAGGTCAAAGCATTTTTGAGTATATTTTTTACTTTATGTTTAATAATGATTATCCATTATATATAAGAAGGAAGCACATTTTGGCTCACAGATATATTTACACACGTAGTATTTCTAAAACTGACTGCATTACTAAACAAACTCTTCATATAAATTCACTGATCTCTTTTACTGAAGGATGCATTGGTTTGAAAATCAAAGACTTACGTCATCCAAAAAATCAATCAGTGAGGATGAGGAAGAAGAAAAGGAATCCTATTTAACGAATACAGCAATAAAAAAATAGAAAATATGGATGAAGCAATTTAATAGGAACAAATAATAAATCAAAAATTTTGTAAAACAATTGAAAGGCAAATGACATTAATTCAAATAAATAAATGAGAAAAGCAGTCACTGTCATTGTTTTCAAGAAACTTTCATGATTCATTAATTACTTTTTTAGAGTGTTTCTTTTTCCTTTTTCCAAAGGAATGAAATATAATTCATACACCATGCCCAAAGTATAATAAAATGAAGCTCATGGCAAATCATTAATAATAAAATTAAATATAAGCACTTATGAAAATAACAACTAAAAGTAAGTAACAGAATCTCTGCTTCTAGTTCTTCCCACCAGAATGTAACCTCTTTGTCAGGGGGACTTGTCACTTTGGGTCACTACTGTATCTCCAGCACTTAGAACAGCTCCTTGCATATAGACACATGATTCTGGTTTGCTGAATAAAAACATTACCAACTTAAATTTTTTGAGACAAAAATATACTTTATAGCATGACATTGATTTTTTTCAGCCAAAAATTTAAATAAGATAAGGAATGACAAGTATTATATAATCACCATTCATTACTGTGAAATCTGCCTAACAGTGGATGTAATACTTTTAACATGAAGCATTTCTTTATATACTTTTTAAAAAATGAACTGATTTGCAACAAGAAACACCAATACACTATTGTGAGCTTCAAATTTTTCACTTATTTTTTTTTACTGTGGCTCTGTGCTTTGGAATAAAAAGTGTCAAAATTATTTTAAAAGTTGGTGTTTGTTCTGCTTTTATTGCTTCTTAGGGAAGTTCAAAATGCTTTTAAAACTAACAATGACTTTCATATTTACACCTTTCTTGGATGTTCAGTTAAATACAAGTGTGATTATACTTTCCATAAGAATCCAGAACATATTACTTCCCTACTATGTTACTGTTTTATAGGATTCTAGATCCTTTTATGTGAGATGCAATAAAACAGTTTTATTGCAAATAAATTTTAAATCACAAAGTGAATTTTAAATTGACTACAAAGGATACCTGAAAAGTTCAGTACTTACTTCAAATTGATCCAGAGCATCGGTAGGCGTATTCAAAAATGCCAAGAAAGAATGCTGTGAGTCTTGGTGCTCTATACCTAGAAAACAGCAGCAACTTTTTTTAAAACTAGAACAATCAATACTAATTTTTATGGATAACCTTTCCTGTCTCAATCTATTAAATCTATTCTCAAATATCATATTTCAAAGCTGATCAATATTATTAAAACATATTTGAAAAGCCAAATTACATTATTTTTTCCTAGACTACCACTCAACAATTAAATAACATCTACTTCTATCAAATATTTGTTCTTGAGTTACTTGTTATGGGATTTCTTTCTTTTTCTATCTGGTACATCATTAAAAAACCCACATTAAATCTTTTGATAGTCTAGAGAGAATGTAGGTGCTTGTTTATGTGTGATTTTTCTAAGCTAATTTATCACCGAATGAGGTTTCTGTTTGAAATACTCGTACCAAGCATATAGCACAAGTGTAAGTAATCTTTAATAAGAAAATAATGCAGTCATAAAACAAATGTATTTAATTATGAAAAAAAGTTAGTCAATCTGACTTCAGGTATTATTCAACTAAAAGAATGATGAATCCAAACTCCAGTTTTTCTCAGATGAATTAAAAAATTCATACATATCTTGTGGCTATGATATTAACTTTAAACACATAATTTTCAAAATAATTTTTTTTATTCTTCTTTTTTCTCTGGGTGCTGGGGATCCATGGCCTTGAGCATGCCAGGCAAACACTACTACTAAAGGCACATCCCCAGCCCTCTAAAATACTCCTTAAAACATAAAAATGATGATAAATACTAGGAAGGATAAAACAAGAAAACAAGCAATCACACAATTTTGACTTCTATATCTTTAAGAAATGACATTTTATGTGTTTTCCCATATTATCTTCTAATTATATACCATAATTACCAGATGGGTCAATATGTTCAGAAATTTATTCAGTCAATAAATATTTGTTGAGACTATTATGTACCAGACACTGTCCTAGATTCTGGGGATATAGGTGTAAACAAGGCATTTTTTTTTTTTAAAGTCTTTGTTTTCATTTCATAAACGTCACCTTATAATATTTAAGCAGCTATAATACATTATAACAGTGAAACTTTATTTTTGCAGTAATCAAAATCCAAACAATAAAGCTTTAGTTAACATCTCTTCAAAACAATGTGATAAATTTAAGACTTTTCTTTTTCAAGTTTAGGACTAATTTTAAAATGATATAGTCAATGTCATCTGATGTAAATCATACTCTGCACTGGTTTCTTTCCTATTAAGTTGGCTTTAGGGCCACAAGTGAACCAGGTCTTATGTATTCATTTTTATCTCTTCACTAAAAAATGTTTCTTCTTTTTACTCTTCATTAATTAAAACCCAGCCTGGTTCTCATTTTAGCATGATAGCTCATGTACCTAATTTGAGTTCCCATTCACTTTTTGGAGGCTCCTTCTTTCTCTTTTTCAGTAAGGAATTCCACCAACAAAAAATTATTGAACATCAACTTCTTTAAATAGCTTTGTCATGTGAGCTCCTCTATGTGACTGCTCTCTGTATTCCACAACTTTAGATTGGATTCAAAGACCCAACCAGCTTTATCTCTAAGTATGTAATGGCACTGGGGAATGACAGAGAAAGAAGCCCATGGGCTTAATATAAACCCCATTAATTAGTGAAGTATTCAGTGATAGCCTTTATTAGGAAAATGAATTTTGGAAAATTGAATGTAAAATATCCCATTATTTAGAAAAATAACATTCTGAATTTATTTTTACTAAACCTTCACATTCTTAATATGTATATTATGGAAAGAAAGTTTAAGAAATGCATGTAATAAAGCTATCAAGCACTATTAGCTTCCACATTAACGGAAAAAATACAAAAGTAATGTTTTCAAGAAAATGGTAATAAATTTGGGAAATCCCATAGGGCCAGCAACATTAAGCATCAAACTAGAAGGCGGCACTGAAATGTCAAAATAATTCTTCATTATTATATTGCCCAATTAATAACAAATTAGATTGCTCATTAGTTCTTTCATACATTGTATTCTCAACTCTCCTGAAAGTGAATCCCGCTCAAGATTTTGGACCTTCTAGGCACAAATAAATACTTGTTGAAGTCTCCTTACCATGTTCTGAACACACACTGCCACTATTGGACTGATTAATTTAGATGGTAACATTTCAGAGTATTATACAGTATAATTTTTCAGTGACCAAAATGTTAAATAGATAACATTTTTGAACAGGTAAATTTATGGGAAAGTGACTTCTTCTGTTACTATAACCTCTTAAAACAATGTCTAGTAAGTAAAACAAAATGACTCAAAACCAGTGTGTGTGTGTGTGTGTGTGTGTGTGTGTGCATCATATACACATGCACATGTTCCTGAGTGCACATGTGAACAATTTTCCCACCTACACAATAAGCTGACTCTTCTGTAATACGATATATTCATGACAAAACAGTAAGTCCTGATTGATGCAAACACACATTCCCATACCCTTTTCAGATCTAAGCTCTTCAGTGTCCTTTATCAGTTGTTCGATTTCTGATAGGAGTTCCAAGTTCTTCTTCTCTGAATCTTTTAGTTTACTTAAATAAGAAAAACAAAGAAAACATGTCATTAATTTTTTATTGCTGACTAGGGAGGCATCTTGTATGAAGCTCACTAAATTAGTTTAAATGTCAGTCATGCTAAATCATGGTACTGCAAACCACTCTAGGCAGGACGAATACAGCCTGTCACCTGCTATTATATAAATCAAGTTTTATTAGAGCACAGTCAGAATCATTCATTTCAGTACTGACTATAGTTGTCCTTACACTATAATAGCACAGTTGAGTAGCTGTGAGGGAGGCTACATAGTCCTTGAAACCTAAAATATTTACTACCCGGTCCTTTATAGAAAAAGTTTCCTGGCCCTGAGCTACATTACTAACTTTAAAAATGTTATAAAAACAGTTGATTTTAGAGTTGTTATATTTTATTCATAAACAACCATAAAAGTAGAACATATTTGTAAGTTTATAATTATCAATTTGGATTATATACCTGTTTTATGGATATTTTAAGTGTAAGCTCTGTGTACTGGGCACAGGAAGATTATATTTTTTCCAAATTACAACACAGAGAATGACACTCAGTAGGTCTTTATGCTGTGTTTCATTCATATTCTTCAGAAAAACTTCTGTTCATTTTAACGCCACATAAACACATGTAAGTAAAACATAATTCATGTGTGTCAATTATAACAAAAAGTTCATAATTCAACAGTGGTGCCATATATCTGGCCTTTGATTTGATTCAAAATATTAATGGGTGCAGTTTAAAGTCTAAGGCTGTGATCACACCATCAAAAAGTGAATTTATAGCCCTATATTTCTTCTCTTGCTTTTGGAACTTTTAGTATTCTGAGCACCAAAAGGATCTTTGTGTTTATGGTTTCATTTGAAATGTGAACTTTGTTTTCTTCCTCTATATCACCTATACTGACTTTTTTTTTTTTTTAATACTAACCCCTGAGCCACATCCCTAATCTGTGTTTTTTTTTTTTAAATTTCAGACAGAGTGTCACTAAGTTGCTTATGGACTTGCTAAATTGTTGAGATTGGCTTTGAACTTGTGATCCTCCTGCCTCAGCTACTGAAGCTGCTGGTACTACAGGCATGTGCCACCATGTCCAGCTTATACTTTTTTTTTTTTAATTAAAAAGAAAATTTTAAAAATGTTGATGGATCTTTATTTTATGCATTTATTTATATGCAGTGCTGAGAATTGAAACCGGTGCCACACACATGTTAGGCAAGTGCTCTATCACTGAGCCACAACCACAGTCCAAGCTTATAATTTTTTTGTTGTATTTTTTGTAATACTGAGAATCAAACCCAGGGCTTCGTGCATGCTAGGTGAGTGCTGTACCACTAAACCACAGTCTCAGCCCCTAACTGATTTTGGAATCATATTTATATCCAATCCAATTATAATTTTTCATTTTATCATTTATATATTCAGAGTATGATTTTCTCTACTGTTGTGACAATAGAGGGAATGTGTTCATTAGTTAACAGCCTCCAAGACTAGGAGATTCTATTTTTTAGGAAATATAGAAACATGAAAAATAAGTATAATCAAAAGATATTCTGCCCTTATGAAATTTACCGTCAACAGAATCTTTACATGTAAAAGACCAAGGGTAGAGACCACAATTTTCAAATAATTCTATTTTGTTCTGACCATATGTTGCAACTTCACACAAATATATTTTTTTCTTTGTGGTATTAGGGATTAATCCAAGATCCTTGAACATGACAGACAAGTGCTCTACCACTAAGCTATACCGCCAGTCTTTTTAAAAATTTTACTTTGAGACAAGGTCTCACTCAGTTGCCCAGGACAGCCTTGAACTTGATCCTCTTGTTTCAGTCTCCCAAGTATCTGGGATTACAAGTTTGTGCCACTACAACTAGAAAATATGATATTCCTTCTCCTCCCACTCCCCAATACTGCAACTGAACCTAGGAGTGCTCTACCACTGAGCTATATTTCCAGCCCTTTTTATTATTTTTTAAACTTTAGACAGTGTCTTACTAAGTTGCTGAGATGGGCCTCGAGCTTATGATCTTCCTGCCTCAACCGCTCAAGTCACTGAGATAATAGGTTTGAGTTGGTGTGTCCAGAACAAATATGATATTCTTGAACATGAGAAAAATTTCGATTAATAAACTATGAGAGTTAACTAAACTTTACAAATAAGGGGAAAATAAACAATGAAATATTATTAATTCTACTTTATGGACAAGCGAGAGGAAAATGAGGCTGTATAAAAATCTTACTGGGGCTGGGGCTAGGGCTGGGGCTGTGGCTTAGCGGTAGCATACTTGTCTGGCATGAGTAAGGCACTGGATTCGATTCTCAGCACCACATGTAAATAAATAAAATGAAAGCCTATCAACAACTAAAAAATACATTAAAAAAAATCCCTTATCACTACTTACAGAGCTTGAAATCATCTGATCCTATTTCAAATCTTTTTTTAAGCACTAGGCAAATAAGCAAACATGTAATATTTCTCTAAATAATTATTAAAAACCTTAGAAATGATTCTACTTGGACTAGATTTTTTCAATCTTACCATTCTGTTATGATGTTAGCTGCTTTAACTTTATTCAGCTCTTCTTGGATGGCCTGTTTAGCTCTTATTTCTGCATCCAGAGCTGACTGCAATTCCAGTCTAGCTGACATATCCAGTTTTGCAAAACGACGCATTTTCCAGGGCATATCCTATAAAGTAAAAAGAGTGTGTTTTTAGCTCCCTATTTTAAACATTTAAACTTAATAATCCAAGTGAATTTGAAAGCTACTTATAAGCACCAACCATTTTCACTTAGAATAGAAATATTATTTTCAAAAATATGTTTTTCATTAAACTCAGAAATAACGGTCAATATTCACATACAAATGAATATTTCCTAACAGTTATTTCCAATAATGACTATTCATATGGACTACTGTTAAGCATTTATGTGTTGTTTTCCTAAACTGGTAAAGACTTAAACTAACTGATTTCTCTTGAAAACTCACAGCAGGCTAACGCCTAGGAGAACTGACATAAATAATCAGATTTATGATAGTGTTTTTTGAGCCTTGTAATCTAATATGATAAGCTTCTATGCAAAATGGCAGAGCTTACAGTTGCTCGTGTACCCAAGCTGGCACTTCTTAATGCTTCCAATTCTTCAGTCATTTTAGAAGCTAAGGCCTGAAGATAGCCTCGTGCATCCTTTTCATCACTGACCCTAAAATACACACACATGAACACAGAGATAAAGCACAAATGTAAAACAGAAAAACTTCAGTGACATATACGCTATTTTAAAGTTTCATAAAGAAGCAATAGAAGACTTCCAAAATGGCGGAGTAGAGGAGAACTCGTTACTGGTGTGACTCCGAGTGAATGGTCAGACACTCTCCCTCATAGGGGCGCCCTTTCACGAATTTAAGCTTCATGGAGCCTGTGACAGGATTTTAAACAGTGGTTGGTTACAAGTGCGGCCCAGAATGCGAGAAAATCTGAGTCCCTCCAGGCGAGGAAACCGGCCAGCAGCGCAGCCCGGGAACCCGCAGCAGACGGGTGGAGTTGAGCCCCGCAGAGTTCTGGCAGCATAGGGACACAGAGTTACAGATCCTTTGGAGCTAGAGTGTGCCAGACTGCGACCCGCGTCTCTGCAGGGCACCGGAGGAGGACTGAAGTCTGGACTTATTGGAGAAATAGCCCAGTTCCCTCCTCCTCACTGGACACCCCGATGCCAAAATGGGCAGTTGCCATCTTGGAAAATCTACCTCCTCAGCTTTGGGTGGTTGTAACAGGCAGCGAGTTTTTGGCATCGGAACAGGTGTGTGATTTCCAGCACCCCCTCTACCCAGCGGTGATAACTCAAAACCTTTCTCGCCAGCTCTCGGTGGCTGTGAATATCAGAGCCGAGTGAAACTGAAAAGGTGCCTGATCTCCAACTCCCCCTCCCACAGCTATGATAACCCAAAACATTTCTTGCCAGCTCTCAGTGAGCATGGCTATCAGAGGGAATAAGACAGAACATGTTGCCGGTTTCCAACTCCCCCTCTCCACAGCTGTGATGACTTGGTGACTACCCAACACAGAGGTAGTTCTCAGCTGATCAGGAGCACAGAGCCCCACAAGCCCAGAGTGAACCCAGGACTATGGAGAAGAGTTCCAGTCACTGGGGCCTAGAGGGCAGGAGAAGTGAGGGGAATAGAGACCCAGAACAACCCAAAGAGACAGGGACTGGAGAGGCACCTGGCAGGGGAGGGAGAGCCACCTCACAAGGATCGCTTCCTCCACCTGAGGGCAGAGACTCAACCTGGAATTCACAAAGACACCTACTGGAAGAGAAGAAAACAGAATTCTAAGAGTGCATTTTTTTTCTGTTTCCTTCTTTCCTTTTTTCTTTTTATCTTTTTCTTCTCTTTTTTCATATCATTTCCCCCCCTTTTTCTTCTTCTTTTCTTTCTCCTTCGCTTCCTCTCCCAACCGTTACTATTTCTACTACGTGTAATTTACTAAATGCAAATAGGTGAATGTTTCTATGCTTCTTATTGTCCTCCCACATACTTAGCTACCCTAAAATACCTCCTGTCTATTCTCCTGTTAATAACTTCATTAGAGTTCTCCAAAGTAGCTAAGATGTATTAACCCCCATACCCTCACATCTTTCCCACTAAAGTCCTACACCCGACCCTCAGTTCTCTGTACACCACCAGAATCTATAAGCCTTTTATGAAGCTAATGAATTTATTTTAAATTACAATTGAATCCAACATCTCTAGACATTATCTCCCATCACAAAGGAGAGCTCTCAGAACTATACAAGAGCAATACAAATCTATAGGAGAAAAATAAGAACACAACAGTAACACAGAGCTGTAAAGAAATATGAGCAACATGAAAAAAAACAAGGGAAAAAAGGACCACAAACAATGCAGGACAACTCAATAATAGAGGAGTTAAAACTACAGCAGAAAGAATGTCAGATAAAGATTTCAAGACATACATGCCTAAAATGATCTGGAGTCTCAAGGAAGACCTTAGACAGTAATGCAGACAATGAAAGATCACTTTGACAATGAATTAGATAAACAAATCCAAGAAGCAAGAGATCAACTCTACAGGGAGACAGAGGTTATACAAAAAAAATCAAACACAAATCCTGGAAATGAAGGAAATTGTAAACCAAATTAAAAACTTAAATGAGAGTATCACCAGCAGAGTAGAACAATTAGAAGTCAGAACATCAGACAATGAAGACAAAGTATATCATCTCAAAAAGAGTCTAGACTGCTCAGAAAGGCTGATAAGAAACCACGAGCAGAACATCCAAGAAATTTGGGATAACATAAAGAGACCAAATTTAAGAATTATTGGATTAGAGGAAGATATAGAGGTCCAAACCAAAGGAATAAGCAATCTGTTCAATGAAATAATTTTAGAAAACTTTCCAAACATGAAGAATGAAACAGAAATCCAAATCCTAGAAGCCTACAGGACACCGAATGTACAAAACCACAAGAGATCCACACCAAGACACATTATAATGAAAATCCCAACATACAGAACAAGGAGAAAATTTTAAAAGCCACAAGAGAAAGGAAGCAGATGACATTTAGAGGTAAACCAATTAGGTTAATGGCTGATTTTTCAACACAGATTCTGAAAGCTAGAAGATACTGGAACAATGTATTTCAAATGCTGAAAGATAATGGGTTCCAACCAAGAATCTTGTATCCAGCAAAATTAAGCTTCAGGTTTGATAATGAAATAAAAACCTTCCACGATAAACAAAAGTTAAAAGAATTTTCATCAAGAAAACTGGAGCTTCAAATCATCCTTGGCAAAACATTACATGAAGAGGAAATGAAAAATAACAACGAAAATCAACAGTGGGAGGTAGTACAGTAAAACTAATCAAAGAGGAAAAACAAATCAAGTTAAATAACAAAAATAATCAAACATGGTTGGAAGTACAAACCATATCTCAACAGTAACCCTAAATGTTAATGGCTTAAACTCACCAATCAAAAGACAGGCTAGTAGACTGGATTTAAAAAAAGATCCAACAATATGCTGCCCACAGGAGACTCATCTGATAGGAATGACATGAACAGACATAAACAGAAGATGAAAGGTTAGGAAAAATCACACCACTCACATGGACCTTGGAAGCAAGCAGGGGTGTCCATACTCATATCAAATAAAATAGACTTCAGGCCAAAGTTAATCAAAAGGTATAAAGAAGGACACTACATACTGCTAAAGGGAACCATTCACCAACAAGAACAATCATTAATATATATGCCCCAAATATATATGTGCAGCTATGTTCATCAAACAAACTCTTCTCAAGTTCAAGAGACAAATAGATCACAACACAATAATCAAGGGTGATTTTAACATACCTTTCTCACCACTGGACAGATCTTCCAAACAAAAGTTGAATAAAGAAACTATACAACTCAATAACACAATTAATAACTTAGACTTAATTGACATATATAGAATATATAAACCAACATCAAGCGGATACACTTTTTTCTCAGCAGCACATGGATCCTTTTCAAAAATAGACGATATATTATGCCATAGGGCAACTCTTAGCAAATACAAAGGAGTAGAGATATTACCATGCATTTTATCTGATCATAATGGAATGAAATTGGAAATCAATGATAAAATAAGGAAGAAAAATTCCTACAACACATGAAAAATGAACAATATACTACTAAATGAACAATGGGTTACAGAAGACATCAAGGAGGAAATTAAAAAATTCTTAGAGATAAATGAAAACAAACACACAACATATCGAAATCTCTGGGACACTATGAAAGCAGTACTAAGAGGAAAATTCATTCCATGGAGTTCATTCCTTAAAAGAAGAAAAAGCCAACAAATAAATGATCTCACACTACATCTCAAAGCCCTAGAAAAAGAAGAACAAATCAGTAGCAAATGCAATAGAAGGCAAGAAATAATTAAAATCAGAGCTGAAATCAATGAAATTAAAATAAAAGAAACAACTAAAAAAACTGACAAAACTAAAAGTTGGTTCTTTGAAAAAATAAATAAGACTGACAGACCCCTAGCCATGCTAATGAAGAGAAGAGAGAGAACCCAAATTACTAGCATATGGAATGAAAAAGGCAATATCACAACAGACACTACAGAAATACAGAAGATAATTAGAAATAATTTTGAAATCTTATACTCCAATAAATAGAAGATAGTAAAGGCTTTGATAAATTCCTTAAGTCATATGATCTGCCCAGATTGAATCAGGAAGATATACACAACTTAAACAGACCAATATCAAGTGAGGAAATAGAAGAAGCCATCAAAAGACTACCAACCAAAGAAAAGCCCAGGACCAGACAGAAACAGCAGAGTTTTACAAGACCTTTAAAGAAGAACTAATACCAATACTCTTCAATCTATTTCAGGAAATAGAAAAAGAGGGAGTACTTCCAAATTCATTCTACGAGGCCAATATCATCCTCATTCCAAAACCAGACAAAGACAAAGAAAGAAAACTTCAGACCAATATCTCTAATGAATTTAGATGCAAAAATCCTGAATAAAACTGGCAAATTGGATACAAAAACATATCAAGAAGATCGTGCACCATGATCAAGTGGGATTCATCCCTGGGATGCAAGTTGGTTCAACATAGGAAAATCAATAAATGTAATTCATCACATCAATATACTTAAAGATAAGAACCATATGATCATCTTGATCCAGAAAAAGCATTTGACAAAACACAGCACGCCTTTATGTTCAAAACACTAGAAAAGCTAGGGATAACAGGAACTTACCCCAACATTGTAAAAGCTATCTACACTAATCCTCATCCAGAAAAATTGAAGGCATTCCCTCTAAAATCTGGAACAAGACAGGGATGCCCTCTCTCACCACTTCTATTCAACATAGTTCTTGAAGCACTGGCCATAGCAATTAGACAGATGAAAGAAATTAAAGGAATAACTATAGGAAAAGAAGAACTTAAACTAGCACTATTTGCTGATGATATGATTCTATACCTAGAAGACCCAAAAGGCTCTACCAAGAAACTTCTAGAACTAGTAAATGAATTCAGCAAAGTGGCAGGATATAAAATCAACACCCATAAATCAAAGGCATTCCTGTATATCAGTGACAAATCCTCTGAAATGGAAATGAGAAAAACTACCCATTCACAATATCCTCAAAAAAAAAAAAAAAAAA